TTCACTTGGATAATAATGACCCATTCACAGGATATATTATTATTATTATTATTTTGAACAATTGGGCTTTTTATTTTAATTTTTCATTGTAGCCAATAATATTTAAAAAATATATTCACTGTCTTTATGAAGGTATCAATGAATTGTGTGTTAGTTTCCTGTGGTTGCTGTAACAAATTACCACAAACTTGGTGGTATGAAATTCATTTTCTCACAATTCTGGAAGCCGGAAGTCCAAAATCAGTTTCACAAGGCATAAATCACAGTGTTGGCAGAGCTGCACTTCCTCCAGATGCTCTAGGGGAAAAATCTGTTCTTGCTTCATTCAGCTTCTGTGGCTGCCAGCATTCCTTCATTTGTGGCCACATTGACAGATACTATTATAATCCCTATTTATAGATGAGGAAACCGAGGTACCTGACAGTTAAGTAATTTGCACAGTGACCCAGATGTAATCTGTGCTGGTGCGAGAATTTAAAACATGCTGTTGATTCCTGCACTTTCATGGTTCCCTGTTATACCATACAGAACTGTGAGAAGGAAACCTCACAGAAGTAGGGAGATAAGCCAAGAGTGGAGTGTCATGATAAATGAAAAAAGAAGACGCATTATTTCTAGAAGGGATGGTAGGCAGGGTCAGTTACTTTAGTGCGATTTAGGCAAGATCAGTACTGGAAAACTCTCATGGAATTGCTTACCGGGAAATGGTTGTCAGCCTTAGGAAGATGATCTCGGTGCTGAGACAACAGAAACTAGATTCCAGATATTGGATGTTCTGCACTGGAATAAATTTAAGGGTAGATATAATTTAATATAAAAATCATACCTGATATAAGTAAAAGGTAAAAATCACACTTTTACCCACCTCAGATAAATATGCTAGGTAAATCTGTGGAATTTATTTAAATTATTGGAAACTATCCCTGGAAAGTGGTCAAGAAAATGCGAGTTACTGTAGACCATTCTTTATGGTGGAGTGCTGTATAAATCAAGAAAATTAGAGCAAATGAAGAGGTTGGTCTAAGAAATAGTTGCTGTCAAAATAATGATTTTTTAAGAAAGATTTTATTTATTTATTTGACAGAGAGAGATCACAAGTAGCCAGAGAAGCAGGCAGAGAGAGCAGGGAGGGAGGTTTGTCGAGGGGAGCAGGCTCCCTGCTGAGCAGAGAGCCTGATGCGGGGCTTTATCCCAGGACCCCAAGATCATAACCTGAGCCAGAGGTAGAGGCTTAATCCACTGAGCCACCCAGGCGCCCCATGATTTTTTTTTTTTTTTACCTTTCATTTTAGTATTCGAGGGAAGACTTTATTTAAAAAAGAGAGTAATCCAATCCTTAAGATCATTTTTATTCACTTAAGATTTTGTTTTCATTTCAATCTACAAATTCAGTCAACACCATTTGTTTTGGGTACTATAGAGAGTATAAGGGTATTTCAATCTTAAAGATCTATTTAACTTTTAAAAAGCTCATTTTAAATTTACATAATGTTTTGCCAATTCAGGAAAAATGTCTATTTTTTGACAGTGATGTAAAAGTGAAATAATCCAGTTTAATAAGTCCATTCTAATGTCTTTATATTTAATGATTGTGATTTCTCAGCAGAATAAAAGAAATGTGTCTTATATGTGATCAGAAAAATAAAATTTCTTGTCATCATTTTACTTTTCTTGTTTTCAGATGGTGTTACTGAAGAGCTTGATATATGTCTTTCTCTGTCCTTTTAATACAATTCACCAGTCAATATCCCTGCATGTAACTGTCCTGAGAAGGATTAAAATAATACAAATGATTACCCTAGTAGGTTTTAATAAATGGTGCGACAAAACTTTTTATCAAATAGTGTGTTAGAACCTTGATGTGTTGGCTCCACTAATGACTAGTATATGTGACTCTGGTTGTAGTAATACAATGCAAAAAAAGCCCTACTGTACATACATCAATAATAATAATAATAATAATTCCTTGTTGATAGCTTCAGCGTTTGGATTCTACTGAGAAACTGATTCTATGAAAAATCTACAGATTTACCTTGCATATTTATCTGAAGTGGGCAATTAAAAAAATTTTAAAAACTTTAAGTAGTCTCCATACCTAGTGTGTAGCCCAATAATGGACTTGAACTCATGACCCTGAGGTCAAGAATCAGGCACTTAACCAACTGAGCCACCCAGGCAGTCCTTAATGAAGAATATTCTTATGAAAAAACTAACAATTTTGTTAAAGTTGATAACATTTTTAGATTCTTTATTTTGAGGTATCTTTGGAGAATGGGGTGTCATTTTAAACCTTGTTTTCTTTGTTTATTTACCCCACTGAGGATTTAATTCTAACATCTCACTGGGAAACATTTTTGAGGACATTCATCTTCTCCTTTGAGAAACTTGAGATTATTTGGTTGTTGTTTCTTTTACTCTTAGTCAAAAGCAATCCTAACTAATAAGATACATTGGCGAGTCATACTATCTCCTACTCAAATAGTATTTGAATAATAAAATATTGTTGGTTAAGCACTGGCACTATTACTTTCAAGATTGGTACTCCCAAGATAAGGCAGAAGTAGAGAGGAAGCATGTAAAAACGTCTGCAGTGGTTTTGAGTTTTTCCACCCATCCAATCTGGGGCAGTCTCATCAACACGGTATTGTGGAACTTGCGTGTTGAGCAGATGGTGCAAATACTTACCACTAGTACCAGCAGATGTGCAGGATCTTTGGAAAATAGCTTCAATGATTAGTTCAAACACTTAATCTCTAACTTCTTGAAATATAAAAAAATATGGCTGACTGTAGTCAATCCTATAAAATATATCACTAAATGGCTAAGAGCTCTAGGTCAGTATGCCTAACACATGCACACAAAGACCAGTTTGCTTTCCATTCAATTTTCCTTCAATTATTTTTCCTCCTAGGTTGCCTATATTTTTCCCTTTCTATTCATTTGGAATTAATTTTTTTAAAAGTAATTTATCTTACAGTATGTCTGACTCAAATTTGTATTTCTAATCTCTATTTCTGGAATATGTGATGTTTTATGAATGGTGGGTTTCTTTTTGTCTTCTTTTGAAAACTTTGTTTTAGTGTAATTAAACATCTTATCTTCATAATTTTGTATGACACACAATAAATACTTGTCAAACATAATAGCAACCATAAATGTGCAACATTTGTTACCATATTTATCAAATTAACCCTTTGAATATCCCTATTTCTTTATTATTGTTGTTTGGTGCTTATGTGTTCTTTATCTCCATCATTAATAATTGTTTGTAATTGTTTTCCTGAGTTCCTTTTGAGGTAGGAACATCTGATGTGAATCCAATATGATGTTCTTCACTGTTAAAAATTAAACTCCTGGGGCACCTGGGTGGCTCAGTGGGTTAAAGCCTCTGCCTTCGGCCCAGGTCATGATCCCAGGGTCCTGGGATCTAGCCCCACATCGGGCTCTCTGCTCAGCAGGGAGCCTGCTTTCTCCTCTCTCTCTGCCTGCCTCTCTTCCTACTTGTGATCTCTGTCTGTCAAATAAATAAAAAAAAACTTAAAAAAATTAAACTCCTGAATATATTAGTCCTGTTTGGGAAAAACTTATTTATATATTAAAATTAGGGTCACTCTAAGTGACATCCCTATATATATAACCCAGTATAGCTACTGACTTAAAAATACATTTACCTTATATTCAAATGGATGTAGATTATTAGAAGCTGACCTTGCTATAACCAATAGCAATAGATAATAATGTTTTGTGTTTATAATCCATTTTGTACTGGATATTTTCCCATTGGCCTTTCAGATCCATTGTCTGTCCTTTTCCACTCTGCCTTATACCTTCTCTGGCTTCCAGTTTGGCTTAGCTAATGGGAAGTGCAGGCAGGTAATTGGAGTGAAGGGCAGAAGGGTGAGATCAAAATTCCTGTCTCTAGTCTCCCTCTTAGCAGGCAACCTCAGATGGGCTGTATGTCTAGACCAAAGGCCAAAGTTTGTTTGTTTGGATTGTTTGTTTGTTTTTAAATCAAACACCACTTTCCTACAGCTATTCTTTCTGGCTCCTTCTTTCCCTCAGTTCCAAGAGTGGTGGTTTCACCCCTTTCTTCCAGACTCTTGAGAATGGCACCATCTCAGATATTATTTCATTGTATTTTTTTGTTTGTTTGTTTGAATAACTCTGCCCATCTCTTTGGAGTCCCTTTATTTAGTTACTCCATTTGAGTGTGTTTTCTGATTCCTGTTAGAACCTTAATTAATCAGTTTTAACAATTACCTAGCTTAAAAACTAAGTGCAAAATAATTCAATGTAAGTCTATGTATTTCAATACTTCATTTTGCTATTTAAATACTGTACTAAACAGAAATAGTGTCTTCTAGTTTTGGTCTTATAAAATGTATTCAGACATACTTCAAAAGGAAGATAAAACTGGATATGAGGACAAGCCGAGAAAACGTAATCTAACCTGTAAAAAGACAGAAGACAAAAAAAATTTACAAGTAATTTTAGAAAGCAGGAAACATAGTAATCTAATAATGATCACGAGCCCCTACATAAAGCTTCTTATATACCAAGCTCTGTTCTAACCAATCTACATATATTGGCCTATTTCTTACAGCAACTCTGTAGGGAGGTACTATTCCCATTATACAAGTGGGGAAACTGAGGCACAAGCAGTTAAGTAAATCAATTTGATTGTATCTTCTTAATAAGCCATATTGTTCTTCTAATGGTTTTGCTGATACAATAGCTAAAGTATAGTAAAGGCTATATTATATGAAAGGATAAGTTTTTAATAGTAACATAATAGAATGTGGGTTTTCAATTCAAAGTTGGGTTTGACTCCTGGGTCTGACATATTAAATTTAAATTCTTCCTTACTATAATTTCTTTCCTAAGTCTGATTTACCTTCTTGCCACCCTTTTCCCCACAAATCATGAATTTGTTTGTAATGTATTCTTTGGTACTAAAAGTGCATTTGTACTCTAACATAAAATTTAACATTTTTCTTTAGGTTTATGATCTGTGAGTATGTCTGTTAACAAGTCACCCATGATTAATAAATTGGGAGTGATATCTTCTTCTTATCATGAAAAATTCTTGAAGTCTAAAATTCAAAACTTAAGGAAAAGAAGGAAAAATAAACCAAAGTAAGTTTGAAAGAATTTTCATGTTAGTAAACTTGCAGATTGGTAGGCATTATAGAATTTAGAAAGCACAGAATATTATGAACAATTTCTTTAAAATCATATATAGCTCTAAAATATGTATTTCTATGTATTTACTATTTTTAAATAAATAGATTCATAATTTTTAATGATCATATATTTCTGAAATTTTTAATTCTACACTTTCTGTTTAAAATAAACATTGTCCTATAATTATATATGTCTATTAAGCTGCCATAATAATCTGTGAAATGCATAAGAGAAAGTATTTAATAACTACCTTCTTACAAAGCACTTTAGTTATTTCTGTGTCCTTTGCTATTTCAAATTAAGCCACAATAGAATGTCATTCTGCATTTCAAATTATTTCTTGGGATAAAGTTTCTAAAATGAAGTTACCGGATCAAATCTTTTTGATAATTTAAAAATTGTGATTTTAAGAAATTTTTAAAAACTTAAAAATGAAGAGAATTATAGACTATGTAAGAAAACTTGCATAGTGACTTTTGGTTACATTTGTTTCAAATATTTTTCTTAACAAAAATTAGATCAACAGATAAAATGAAGCTCTTTGACCACCTGCCCTCCCAACTAAAATAATTGTGGTATATTATCATTTCACTTCATTTTTCTATTTAAATATGAATGAATATAAAATTGCATTTTTTATGTAAATATAAATATAATTATACCTAACTTATTTATCTGTGATTTGATTTTTTAAAAGTCAGTGTTATGTTTTTAATTCAATCCATGCCAGTAATTATGTTTTATTATTGATAATTATTTCTTTATTCATTTTAGTGGCTGTATAGTATTACATATAATGCATACTTCTTATTTTATTTATTTTCCAGTTTTTTGCCAATGAATCAGTGCTATAGTAAAAATCATTATATATTTCTCTTTGTATATCTGGGTAAGTGCGGCTTTGGAGTGGGATTTTTTTTATTCCTCACTTTTTGAATTTTCCTTAATTCTCTTGCTGTTTAGAGTATCTCAATCAATTTACATTGTCTCCCAACAGTATATGAAAGTATCACCTCCTGCATCTTTTCCATCGCCTCATATTGTCAGACTTCTTCTATTTGTCATTGTAATAGGCCACAAGTGGGACTTGCCTGATAACTTTTTAAAATCTCTGATAACTAATGAGACTCAGCATCTTTTAATATTTGTTACCATTAGAATTACTTTTATCTGTTTATTTCCCAATTTATTTTTTAGGTGTTTTTTTCTTACTGATATTTGATATTCTTAAATATTTGTTATGAATTCTTTCCATCATTGACTTGTCTTTTAACTTTGTTTTTGTGATGCCTTTCATCTACATGATGCCTTCATCTACAGAAGTCCTGGAAATTAATATAATCATTATGATTTTAAGAGTAGTTATATACTTTACATTGCTGATTTTGTTCATTCACTCCATTAGCCCATTTCATTAACATACTGTGAACTATCCATTCATTCTTCTGTTGTTGGCCACTTCAATTATTTCCTGTTTTTGGTTATTATGAACAACGTTTCCATGAACAATCTTGTACAAGCATCCTAGCACATATCCTAAGGTACATAACTGGGAATGGAATTGTTGGATCATGGGATATATACCATTTAGTGAACAGAACTTATTCTCAGTCTTTTATGATTAGTGATTTTTGTATTTTGGTTAAGAAATCTTTCTCCACCTCAATATCATGTAGATATTCTTATACATTATTTTCTAAAAACCTTACTGTTTTGCCTTTCATGTAATATGTGTAGAAACAATTCTTGTTAATGGTGTTACCTACAGGTTTAATTTTCCTTTTTTATTTAAATACCTAGTTGATTAACACCATGTTTTGAAAAGAACATCCTTTTCCAATATTTTGCTAGTACAACTATTGCATAAAGTATCCACATATAATGGGTGTTTTTAGCTTGTCTATTCTGTTTCATTGGCCCATTTGTCTCTATACCAGTGCCACGCTACCTTAATTATCATAATTTTAATAATAACAGTAGTCAACATGACTGATTTTCCATATATGTTCTTCTTCATTAATATAATTTTTAGAGTCAGCTTGTCATTTTTTTTTAAACTTGTTGGGTTTGGTTATTGGATTTTTCTGAATCTATAGACAAGTTTGAGGATAATGGCATCTTTATTATAATAAGGATTCCAATTTATGAACAAGATATAACTTCCATTTATTTAGTTACTTGTGAAATTTTCTCAGTGAAGTTTTAATGTTTCTTTATTAGGGGGACTGTGCATCTTTTAAGATGTTAGGTTTTATTCCCCTGTATTTGGTATTTTGTATACAATTATATGTTTTACACATATATATATTTTTTTTTTTTTTTTTTTTTTTTATGAGACATCTACTCTAATTCAGTATAATGTATGAAACAAAATATTACTTCACATAAGGGCCTTAAAACTACAACCAAAACAAGGCATAAAAACAAAGTATATGTAACTGCAAAAGCAGCAAATTTATCAAAGAGTTATCCAAAGAGCTGATGGAAGGCAAACTACATCGTCTTGCCTGCACAATGTTACTTAGTTTAGCTATCGCTCGAGCATTTTGGCATACAGTAGCCAATCATGTCTGCACAAAGTATGGACACAAGAAGACACAAAGAATTAAGAAAATCCTTTCTTAATTTGGATTTCAGCCCTTCAAAGCCCTTCAAAGGAACTTGTGTCAGTTCCCAGATAACACTTGCTTGTTGCCTTGGCACACTGTAGGCTCTCAGGGAATGTGTGTAGAAGCAACGAATGAATGTTTGACCAAGGATATGCAAATTTAGATACATTGTTGATCTTTCAGCGAGCAGGCTACTTATGAAACTGTTTGAGCCCGTAAAGAAACAAAAGAAAAATATTTATGAAAGTATCTTTTTCCATTCATTTTGAATCAAATGGGAATTCAGAAGACTCAGGTTCATATATTTCTTATTCACTTATATTAATCCATTAAACAGTTATTGTCCACTAATTGCTCTGTAGACACTCACAACAGTTGAAGTCATTTGAAAAATAAGGCTTTTATCTTTCAAACAAGAACTTTTATTTTGCCAAGAGTAAAACCTGAACTCAAACACATGACAAATGCATTATTTTTTTTTTTACCTCTTTTTTTTTTTTTTAAATTTTATTTTTTATAAACATATATATTTTTTTCCCCAGGGGTACAGGTCTGTGAATCGCCAGGTTTACACACTTCCCCACACTCATCGTAGCACATACCCTCCCCAATGTCCATAATAACCCCATCCCCCCAACCCCCCTCCCCCCCTGCAACCCTCAGTTTGTTTTGTGAGATTAAGAGTCACTTATGGTTTATCTCCCTCCCAATCCCATCTTGCTTCATTTACTCTTCTCCTACCCCCTTAACCCCCCATGTTGAATCTCCTCTCCCTCATATCAGGGAGATCATATGATAGTTGTCTTTCTCCGATTGACTTATTTCGCTAAGCATGATACCCTCTAGTTCCATCCACGTCGTCGCAAATGGCAAGATTTCATTTCTTTTGATGGCTGCATAGTATTCCATTGTGTATATATACCACATCTTCTTTATCCATTCGTCTGTTGATGGACATCTAGGTTCTTTCCATAGTTTGGCTATTGTAGACATTGCTGCTATAAACATTCGGGTGCATGTGCCCCTTCGGATCACTACGTTTGTATCTTTGGGGTAAATACCCAGCAGTGCAATTGCTGGGTCATAGGGTAGTTCTATTTTCAACATTTTGAGGAATCTCCATGCTGTTTTCCAGAGTGGTTGCACCAGCTTGCATTCCCACCAACAGTGTAGGAGGGTTCCCCTTTCTCCGCATCCTCGCCAGCATCTGTCATTTCCTGACTTGTTAATTTTAGCCATTCTGACTGGCGTGAGGTGGTATCTCATTGTGGTTTTGATTTGTATTTCCCTGATGCCGAGTGATATGGAACACTTTTTCATGTGTCTGTTGGCCATCTGGATGTCTTCTTTGCAGAAATGTCTGTTCATGTCTTCTGCCCATTTCTTGATTGGATTATTCGTTCTTTGGGTGTTGAGTTTGCTAAGTTCTTTATAGATTCTGGAGACTAGCCCTTTATCTGATATGTCATTTGCAAATATCTTCTCCCATTCTGTCAGTGGTCTTTTGGTTTTGTTAACTGTTTCCTTTGCTGTGCAAAAGCTTTTGATCTTGATAAAATCCCAATAGTTCATTTTTGCCCTTGCTTCCCTTGCCTTTGGCGATGTTCCTAGGAAGATGTTGCTGCGGCTGAGGTCGAAGAGGTTGCTGCCTGTGTTCTCCTCAAGGATTCTGATGGATTCCTTTCTCACATTGAGGTCCTTCATCCATTTTGAGTCTATTTTCGTGTGTGGTGTAAGGAAGTGATCCAATTTCATTTTTCTGCATGTGGCTGTCCAATTTTCCCAACACCATTTATTGAAGAGGCTGTCTTTTTTCCATTGGACATTCTTTCCTGCTTTGTCGAATACACATATATTTTTAAATAGATTTTTTTATGTTTCCAGAAGAGAGAAATACAATCGATTTTTATACATTGATTTTACATGCAATTATATTGCTAAATTCTCTTACCGATTCTAAGCATGCTTATCTCAATCTTTATTAAAAAAGAATAAACATTTCATGATTAAGTATAATTAGGGTCCTCAAACCTTATCTAGCAATTTAATTCTAATTTGTGGTTTTTAAATTTCCACTAGACTTCATTACTAATTTAAGTAGTTAATGTTCCTTTATATTTTATTTATTGTTAATCACTTTCCTTGCTTCGCCTTCCTTTTTTGCTTCTTAGGCCTTGTTTTTCTTTTGCCAGCCAGATATAAAACTTCTAAAATTTTAGAATTTTTTGTTGAGAAAAATCTGATCTCGTTAGTCTGAATATACTTTTATTTTATTCTTATTCTTGAAGGAAATTTAAAACTGAATATAGAATTATCTTTGGTCTGTTATCACTTTTATTCCCT